AGCATTTACTGTTGGAATCAGTTGTTTACCAGTAAAAAGAAGAGATTTTAAGATAGCTGAAAACAGTCAAGCTGCTCGATAGAAGGATTAAACATAAAGGCACAAATACGCCGAACTGAGAGCATCTGGCAGAAAAATCGCAAGTACAATGCCCTTCAATCAAGTAAAAATAATCTCTTTTTTATTAGTTTGAATCCTAAAATACTAAGTTTGATTCACTTTTTGTACTTCGCCGATATTGTGATTGTATTTCTATTGTCTGTTTGGGACTTTAGAAGATGAAAAGTTATGAAAAAAATACCTGAACATTGAGGCGGAGCGAAAATTCATGGTGCAAAATTAAAAGAAAGTTCTAGTTTTAATAGTCAAATTTTTTCATTAATTCGCCTTTACCCAATGGGCAATGTCTTTTGCATAAACTGACACACCGTATTTTGGCAAGCTAAACATATTTAATAATTGTGAAAAATCACTTCAGTGCCTCTTGTAGTTTTTTCCTCTGTGAAAACAGAAAATTTTCTTCGGCACATTTCGGTGCAAATAGTTTTTCTGATTCGTGTGTGAAACAAAATACTGGCCTTGTTCATCGTCTTCTTAATTAACATTGAGCAGCAATAAGGGATCGCATGTTAAAAATAGCTCAGGCTTGCGCGCGAAGCTAAAAATAGATTTTCAAGAAACTTTCATGGTTACAGACCCATGTATGGGAGATGTGCTCTCTTACTTAATATTCTCTTGATGTCAATTATTTCACCGCTCATCTTGGTTGGTACCGAGTATGGCTTTATCAAAGGGATACAAGACGCGGAAGACATCCGTATTACCAGACTTCGCATCAGTAAATTTTGCTTCAAAACTTCGTTCAAGATTCAGATGTCCAGTGTGTAAAAACCCTCGGAAAGAACCTGTACAGACTGAATGTGGGCATCGAATGTGTAGTGAATGTCTTCAACAAATATTGAGGTAAACATGCATTAGCTTTAACGTTTACGGYCAAGTAGACGAGCTGATCAAATTTTAATTCTCCTTACCCTGTACTTCGTAAAACAGCGGGTAACATTTCCGTAATAAAGAAAGTGCTTTACAGCGGTTTTTATTTCTAAGAAAGTGCTTCGTTGCCGTTTTGTGTGATTAAAAAAGTGCTTAACTGCACATTCCTAAATGGCTCAGTTCAACATGCACTGGAAACATCTATCGATTTGAGATGTTGGAAATATGTTGGAAATAAGTTGGAAGTGTGACTTCCAACCTTTTGGACAGATCCATGGTATGGAAATTTGTTGAAAATATCAGGTTGGGAATATCATGGAAATATGTTGGAAGTTAATTAGTTAGTGATGATGCGTGCATGTTGGAAATTTGTTGGAACTTTGTTGGAAGTGAATGTTGGAAATATGTTGGAAGTGATTCGGGTACAAATCAAACATAACTCCTTTAAATTCTTCACAAACACTGAGTTGCTCGTGTGGTTGGCGATCCTAGTTACGCGTCTCAAGCTAAAGGTTTGGCCATAAACAAAGACAAAACAGAACGGCCAAAACCATTTGCTCAAGACAAAAATAGAAACTCAGTGAAGATATCGGATTCAAGATATTTCGATCTGAAACGGCCTGGACGGCAGACATCCTTCATTGAACGCATACTTTCAGTCACGTCTTTATCAGAATATTTATGAGTTTTAAGTCTATGTCCTTCAAGTTGAGGATTAAAAACTGCATTAAAGATCCATGCTGGCATGGCATAAGAGTATGTAGAACTCAATTTATACATAGTTCGTTAACGACCACTATGCGCGCAAACTTAAATAACGCGCTTGCTTTATAGTATAACACAAACAAAGTATACATTTTCTGAAAGCTGAGTAAACATAGTTTATGAAGACATCTTCAAAATATGATTTTTTCAATTGTTGTTCACATTATTGTCCTCCAAGCGAAATTTGACCATGCCTCAGTGAAAACGTTAACGGACACGTACATTTTAAGCTATGTTTGCGAAAAATGTCTTAATATTCTCAGGAGAAAATAAGCTCCAAAAGACTGTCCCAGATTTTTGATATCTGTTTTATGTCTCTCGTTATTTTTGATCAAAGTTTGGCGATTGCTTTTGGAGTGTTGTTTAGAGTAAAAAGCGTCATAACTTTGGAAAGAAATTAAATTTCAAAAATCGGAGATAATATTTTTTGGATCATGAGTTACTTTTTAAACTCTCCAAATTTTAGAAAAATCGAATGAAATCCAAGGGCCTTTTAGCTTTTTGAAGTTGAGGTTTTAGCGNAAATTTCAAAATTCGGAGACACTCTTTTTTGGATCATGAGTTATTTTATAAACTCTCCAAATTTTAAAAAAATTGAATGAAATCCAAGGGCCTTTTAGCTTTTTGAAGTTGAGGTTTTAGCGACAAAAATAAAATAAAATTAAATTAAATTAAAAAAAAGAAAAAAGAAAAAGAAAAAAATGCATTTCTTTGTTTGGAGCCGGAAGCTGCAGGAGCCACGATGGTGTTGGTCAAAACACCTTAAGCCTTCCATTTTTTCATCACTTGTCAAATTGCACAAAAAGCACAAAGGAACATTTGGACTCAACGTTATTGCAAGCGATTTCCGGTCTTGATAAAGTCACGATTTCGATTCGTCTCAAAATTTTGTTTTTTTCAATCAAAAATTGCAAGAAGTTTCACAAACATATGAAAGACAAAAATTTAAAGTTACGAAATTTCAAACAAAACATTTTCGAGCAAATCGTCATTTTTCGTATCCTAATACCTTAATGCAAGTGCTAATGTCTAAAGGCAGTGCTAGTTTGTTAGTAAACAAGAAGGAAGGGCTTTAATGTTCGTGAATACTTTGATAATTATAGCGCACATAGACTTTGACTGGGATAATCTGTATGCTGTACGTCTGTTGTGAATTGTAGTATAATAGCACTATCAGATTGAAGCCAGTTACAAGTTTTACTGAGACCATAACACAAGGTGCAGAGAATTGCCACTTTCCGTTGTTTGTTTGTCTGTACGCTGTTCTGAATCTCGTTCGACTGTCATTGCGCAGTCAATATTGTGTCAACACCAGCAGAAATACATTATATATTCCTATTAATATTCTGAACAGTCATGTATGACAGTGTGACGTCACATAGCAACCAAATCTTGGCGCGACGCTTCTACCAAAATGTCACAATACAATTGTAATTTTTAAAGGCGGGAATCTTGAAACGAAAAGCGGTCAAAACAAAGATTTAAAAGTTTATTCATAAGCGTAGTAAGCATAATAATTACTCATTAACTTATCAAGTCAAGAGAATATTAAGTATATCAATACTTTTTTTTATCATATCAACGATCTAAAACTCTGAAAAGATAAATAATACTGGCCTTTCGTTTTCTCGCCATTTTTTTTTCCCGGCAAGAAAAGTTGTCGCGTAGTTAGAAAAATCTTTTCTCTTCTTTCCCTTCATTTTATAAACCCAAACAAGGACGTTTCACTACTAAGCTGTTGAGCTTTTAACTAAGCTAAAGTACTTTTTCCCTTGCTTTTCCATTGTGCTCATCAATCCTTTTAAGTGTCAAAATTTACTCAGTAACTCGTTTATCGTATTAGAGAATTGTGAGGAGATGCTTGTCAAAAACGTTGAAAATGGCTTCTAGAATAATGATTTTTACTTCCAAAAAGGTACCAACTATCTATGAGTGCTAAGTGACAGAAGGGAGATAATAATCCTAAATTTCGACTGTCATTTTGGCTTTCTTTTTTACATTTCATTTTTTTTACGAAGAAACCACCGAACCCCCTGGGATATAATAAACGATCGGTCCCTTATGAAAAGCTGTATACAGTATGTTCATGTAAAATGTTGTCTTTTCCCCATGTCCTTTTATTTGCTTGACTTCTTATCCAGGTAAATGTAGTAATAGTTTATGGTTGAATCATCTATTTTAGTAATATTTGTGAATCATCTATTTTGTATGAATGATGTTTGTCTTTGTTGCTCAGTTGTTTTCATCTCTGAGTGGGAGCCCTGACATAACACTCTGGTCCTAATATAACGACTTGTGCAGCAATCCTAGAGATTATAAAAACATTATGCATCACAGGAAAATTTCAGTGACATTGATACTTAGAAATCACTCGAATTATGAAAAACAACCACAACAACTTTCGAATATACTTTCCTTTCCTATTTATTAAACTTCATATATTTAATCGCGAAACATATCAGTTTAACATTTGAGTTCTAAAAAGAACCAAAATCAAATATGAGCTTGCCCAACCTGGAATATAAGATCATATTTCATGGATTAAAATCATTTTAGGATAGGAATAGGAAAGTACAATGGGGATAATACAATTTTACTGTACKACTTTTGTTTGATTAGAATAAGGTGGCAAAATATTATCTAACGATACTCTTTGGTAGTTTATGTTATTTATATAAAAAGTTAATTTTAAGTTTGATGAGTTTCGATTTTTTGATTCACTCTTATCAAGTTAATTATTCACATACAGTCGTTTGCAACTAAGTAGAACACCAGACACTAATGAAACATGTTCTAACTGGCGGCCGAAACGTTGAAGTTATAGTCGACCGGAACGTACGAGGTTTGGCGCCAAAGTGCCAGCCTGATGGCAACGTTTGTTCAAATACGTGTGTACGTTGATCTGTTGGCGTTGGTCATGGATTCCTTCGAAAGAGTAGACATAAGGGAGTTTCTAGAAGAGATCGATCCTGATCTCCTTCAGTATTCTTCACATTTTCGAAAAAAAAAGGCTTTACTTCAAACAAAAGCATGAAGTACTGGAGAGAAAACCATTTTGATTCTTTCGAGATTGAAGTACCCTGAGAAAAAAACAAAAAAACAAAACAAAAAAACAAAAAAAACAAAACAAAAACAAAAAAAGCAACTTGTCATCGCTTATCACCACCGCAAGCACAGCAGTGGCGCAGCTCAACGGGGTCGAACTGAAAGCATGTGAAGGCGCCTCTGGCAGCCACTATACAGTCCATGTATGACCCCGGAGCACAGCTCTAAACAGTTTGAATTAGTTAGGTTGATTTGAGAGGATGGAGGAAAAACCGGTGGACCGGAAAAACCCTCGAAGTAAGAAAGAGAACCAACCAACCCAGCTCGCATGGGGTGACTAGGATTCGAACCCCGGATCTCAGAGGTGAGAGGCGAGCGTTTTACCACCACGCATTACCCTGAAGGAATTTGCGCGCCCAACCGTCCAACGAATCATTACGAAACATACACGTTCCGGTTGACTATATTCAACGTTTCGGCCGCCAGTTAGAACATCTTTTAGTGTCTGGTGTTCACGCTTAGTTGCAAACGACTGTATTTACCTTTTGCAAGTCTTCCTTGTTGACTTATGATTTGTGCAAAACATGGTGTCAAACCCAAAGAAACGTTTTTCAAACTTCAAACAGATTGATGAGCAGTTGAGCAAAAGGTATCTTCACGAAACTCAGCAAATACAAAGATGAATATCTAGGTTCCTTAACCTCCTTTTTTAAAGCCATAGATCAAATCTTTAAATCATCAAGGTCTTAAAAAATTCTTGTGTGTCGTATTTTTTCGAGTGGCTCTTGGAAAGGTACTTCGCAAAGAATAATTCAATAACTAAATATCTTTTTCGTTAAAAGCATCAAAGTAAGTGAAAAAACATTTTCGAAGGACTCCTTTACCCATATGACTGGTTCATAGAGAAATATCTTTGAGATTTTTGGGGGAAAACGGGAAGATAACCACGAGCGTTTACTCTTCCCTCTTGGCCGCCATTGTGAAATCGCWGAACCGCGGCGTGACGTCATACTGTCATACTTGACTCATTCATTGTTTACCTTGGAGACGTCTCCTCCCTCCTGCATCAAATGAAATAAAAGTTCATTCTTACGTTGAGATAGCTGTTTTATCTCATCTTCTATTTCTTCTAATAGTCCTTGGATTAGCATGAAGTGTTCTGTATATATACATATATATAATGTGAAATATAATGTGTATCTTATATGGCTTTATTTAGTTTTATTGTTTAAACAGCACTAGTATTCCTGCCTTTTTCATTATACTTTCATCTTTTTGTATCTGTACCTTTTACAGTAAAATAAACAATGGTTTCGAGTGGCATGCCATGAAATAATATCATAAAAGTCACTTGTATTTTTTTAGTTTGCACACGCAAGAGACCAGTGGGATATATTTTTTACAGTGCCATGAAAAAGCATTGTAAAACTATTTTATCCTGCGACATTGAAAATCCACTTAGGCTAACTGCAATGGCTGATTTGAAGAAACAGAGGAATACCATTAAACATACAACATCCTTCCTGTATTCTGATATCTTATAGTCCCCTTCACATTTCCCAGTGCCATCTTGGAAGGTAACCATATACCTTTGCATTGAAGTGAGAACAGTGGTGGCCTTGCAATAATAGACCTTTTTTTAACACCTTGGAAAATTATTTACATGTCTTTATCATGCAAGGTCACTGCCATTCTAACTTCAATGCATAGGTATGGCCATCAAGATGGCATAGGGAGACTATTGGGGCTGTATTTTCAATGATCTGGGATATTTCAACAAATTTTATGATGATCGTTTGGTTTCGCGATAAACCTTGAGATCAATTTTTCCCTTTAACACTTTATTTTCTTCGCACTTGGTGTCGAACGTACAATTCACGATGAACTCTGAACACACACTTACACACACCTAGCCTTGGTAAACTACTGCAACTTCTTATATAGTCTTTTACAATCTTTCTAGAATGTTCTACATTACATCATATAATTTTCCAGAAATTACTATAAACAATCTATATATATAATATAAATAGACATTTTGTAATCACTTCTAACTTACTAGAATTTTCTATAACAAAGACTAATCAAGAATGTCCTGGAAAATCTAGAATATTCTATAAAACGTGCTTATTGTCATTTCTTCTGTCCATCGTTATTTAGAACCCCAGAAACTGTCAGTTTAAATTTTTCATTTTTCACGTTTTTTTGTATCCTCTAGAAATCCAAATCCTCATTGTCCTTTAGATAAACAGCCACTCTCTGAAAGACAAGTATTCAATGATGTCTGCTGCAAGCGTGAGGTTCTTGGGCTCATTTGTTTCTGCATGAATCACAAGCATGGATGTGGATGGAAAAAGGAACTGATGCACTTAGAAGTAAGAATCTAGCTAATTTCTGGTAATATATGGTAACATGAGTAGGTTTTGGCCTTTGACAGAAAAAGACACAGTAAAAAGCATACATGTCAAAGACTTGACCAGTGCACAAAAGCTAATACTATCACTTGGGTTTTGGAGCTCTGACATTTACATTACACATGGATGTGAATAACTGTGGACCAAGTAATACTGTGAAAAGGAGTATCACTGAAAAATAATGTACATTATATATATATACATGTGTTGATATCAAAGACAGTATTGTCAAGCAACGCCAAATCATCATTGGGAAACATCAGTGTTCATATGACAGCTAACCGGCCAACATCATAAACTGTAGTGGTTGGTAGTTGTAAAAATGAAACTCTTAAAAGTAAGATTAACAGGAAAAATCCACGGGTAAGGGCCTGAAAATTAAGAACCTGTTAGCCTCAAATTTGTCATTTATACCCCCTTTAAACAAGAACCTATTTAGCCTAGAAAATAAAGAACAGGTTTTTATTTTCAAAAAATCATCATTGAGTGATGCAGAGCTGGGTAAGAATCCTGTTTGGAAAAACAGGTTCTTGCCATTGCTGTGCAGATAAATCAATTAATGTAATGAAAATATAAAGTGAAGGAAGGTTGATATTAATTGTATTGCATTATGTCAGCAATAAGTCAGCATGTGAAATATAATGTACAGTAATCTACAGTGTGAGTACATGAGTACATTTATTTGTTTTTACACAGAAATAAGAACCTATTTAAGAACCTAGATAGCCTAAAATTGTGTTAACTACCATTTAAACAAGAACCTGTTGAGGCTAACTCTAAAAAATGTAGGTTCTTACTCGCGGGTTTTTACTGTATTTGCATCCCAAAACAGTCAGAATACGTTTCTGGATCAACACTCAGGGTCACTCTATAATATTATTACCTGGTTATTATGTTTTAATGTTATACGGATAAGGACTTTGATGACATGGCCTTGTCTCATGCCTCTTACTTTATCTGAGATACATAAAGAGGCATGCTTTAGTTACAGAACCTGCTGGACTGTGGTAGATCCTATTGGATTAAGGAAGAGTTTTTGGGGTTATCCTGGTCCCGCCTCCAATTATAATAATGTTAATGTGCTACCCTTCCCTTGAGAATAATAGTGTAAAAAATGTTGGCCGCCATGTTGGATGATATGGCATAAGAAACCAAAATTAAATCTATGCCATCCAAGGGCGGATCCAGGGGGAGGGTCGGGGGTGGTCGCGACCCCCCTGTCATTCCTGAGGTCAAATGGGCTTCCTGTGGTAAAAATGCGACTGGGATTCCTTTTCGCACAAAATTTACCCCTAAGACCCCCCCTTCAAAAAGCCCTGGATCCGCCCTTGCCATCGGCTTTGACTTGTCATACACCTCAAAAGCTGGGCTGAACTAAGTCAGGCCACGGCCAGTCGATTTTGTTTTAGCTCGTTAGATTTTGCGAAGAGAAAGACAAGAGAATCAAGAGCACACTGATTTAAGCAAAGGCTGCATTTCTATAGGTTCATACCAACTGCTAAATTATTATGTTTTCTTGTGTTTTATTATCTTATTTCCAGGAGCACTTACGTCATTGCGAATATCGAGAAGTTCCTTGCCCGAATCAAGGATGCAAAGAAATGATTCCAATGAAAAAACTTGATCATCACGTGGAAGAATCTTGTCTTTATAAACCATGTCAACACTGTGGGGAACATGTACCTGAAGTCCAGATGGAGGTCAGAGTGCGATTTTTTTTCTTATAGTTTGTTTTCTTTCTAACTGATCCTTGAAAGACGTAACTTTCTCAGACGAGAGAACACTGATCACAAAAAGTGATAGCTAGATCAGTCTCCCAAAGCGATGGCTATGATTAATATGTCGACTAGTAGTAAGATGGATATAAATGCTAGTATTCCGAACTAATGTGATGAAAAATGTTTGCGCTCTTTGTTCGTGTTACTGTAAACTTGAACTCTTGTTTTATTTATATGCATATATAGAGAGTGAACAGTACAGTAAGGGATATAAATAACAAAAGAGAAAGGATGTTTAAGTTTGTGTGACTGTTAAAGTAGTAAGCACCGTTTCGAGTCGAACTTCAGGTCAAACGCACTGACATATATTTTGATGTGCATATAAACTACTAAATACTAACAGCTGTGCAAATGGTTTGACCACAGGTAGCCCAAGCTTGGTTTCTGTGGTGTCCTGTTATAAGGAAATGTATGGAGATACATCAAAAATTTCAATAAAATCTTTGAAACGTGTAACAAAGCCTCGAAATTTTACCCGATCATTGCGAAATAGCACTTCTTTCGCTCTGCGTGGTTATTTTTTGAATTTAGCCCGTTTTAAGATTTTTTCCCCCACCAGTAAGGAAAAAAATCCTTAAAATGGGCTACATTCAAAAAATAACCACGCAGAGCGAAAGAAGTGCTATTTCGCAATGATCGGGTAAAATTTCGAGGCTTTATTTCACGTTTAGATGATTTTATTGAAATTTTTGATGAATCCCCATACATTTCCTTATAACAGGAAACCACAGAAACCAAGCTTGGGCTACCTGTGGTTTGACTCGAAGATGTTATATTTGAACTGTAACAACTGTAATTGGCTGAGTGCATGGTGTTGGTGTGAGGACGTGTGTTTGTTCTGTCTGAACGACGACCGGTCCGACAACCTGAATGGTAGACGACGGGTAGTCATCTTCAGAGTACAGTCAAGTGCATGAGTGACGAAAAATAAGTCTACTGTAGCTGAACATCGAAATCGTGAAGCAGGGATACCCTATGATACACTAACCCTGTGTTCTCCCATCTTTTAGGCTCATCTGCGTAAATGTGAAAAGGTCCCTATTACTTGTCAGTATTGTGGAATGAGTGRTATTTTGCGTGAGCTTCAAAACGATCATATCGAAAACCACTGTGAAGCAGCAGAAAAACCCTGCAAATTCAAAGATGTTGGGTGTCTCTTCAAGGTATGACCACACAAGAGTCAAATGCACAGACTATTGTAGAAGATCAATCTGTTACTCAATGAGAACGTGACAATTGCCAAAATAACCGACATCATATTTTTTAATTTATTGCATACGTTTAATCATGGCGTGTAGAATTTGGAACGAGGCATGCATGGGGATGTTTTAGAACTACGAAAACCCCGTGCGGAGGATTTTTTACCCATTTGTAATACATGTTAACAAAATGGATGTTTAAACGTCATTTAGGGTAAATTAGAAGACCTTAATGAGCACTACGATTGCCAGAAGGACGAGCATCTCAAACTGACAGTTCAATCTATGTACTCATCAAAGAAACTGCAAGAGGAATTGAGCCAAAAAGTGGATAAAGCTAAAGAGAAGACTGAAAAACTGGAAAAAGAATTGTCTGAGCACCGAGAATCGTTGGCTGCAAACGCACAGAACTTGAGATCTTACCAGGCTAGACTGAGTAAAGCTGAGAATGGTGTTTCTGAAAACAAATCTGCTATTGCACAGATCAGAGAACGCATAGAGGTAGGCTGATCCAATAGACCTCAAGCATAATGTATCATACCTACACTTCCCGAATCCTTTTCGGTAGCTTTCTTGTGTTGCTGACTTTCATTGTTGTGTTGGTCTTATCAAAGAAGTTTTTACATTTGAATACGAAAAAAATATTTTGAAAAGGATTGTGGTAGTATAAAACATCATTTGGGTTAGGGTCTTTTCTCCTAGTTTATAAATAACCCGTTTATGAATCCAACTTGCTATAGATTTTAGACCCGCAGCCGGAATGGTCCGCGAGTCCCCAGTAGCCCAAAAGACCGAAGGTCGAATAGACATCTTTAGCTATCGCGTAATTTTTCCCCATTTCAGACCACGTGTCATTCTCTTGAGAATAAGATTCTTTGTTTGAGTTGTATCCATATTCATGTGTCTTCTCATGCAAAACCGTTAAGCAAAGAACTGATACTCTAGAAAAGGGAAAACAAGCTAAAGGGGTCTATGGGCTATTGACTATTAACTAAGATATTGAGGGCGAGGGCAGTCATGTCTTATACTGTCGAATTCATACGGATCGTCAGTGTGACTCACAATCCGTGCGATTAGTGAAAGTCATTGATCATTTATTATTACTGATCATACATAAGTCTGAATTATTAATACTCCTAATAAAGCGCACTTTCTTCACATCAAAATAGTCGAAGTGTGCTTTCATGGGGTACACACTTTCCGTACGATCCGTTCGATTTGTACGATTCCTAAAACGTTCGTGAAACTATAAGTATGGTATTCACGGTGTTGGAAAACCCTTCATATATCTGGAAAATAGACGAGTTCAGTCGAAGAAACCTCGGGGGGATCATAGGAAATACATCATCCATATATAGCCCCCCACTCTATGTTGGTCCCTATCAATACAAGGTCAAAATCATCGATTAAATATCTATTTTTCGCTATTGTTTAAAATATAGATTATTTCAAGGGGAAGGCGTGCGTACGGTATATGCGCACGAGTTGGTGACGTATAGGAAATCGAACGAGTGAGCATAGCAAGAACGAGTAAGATTTCAGATACCGACCAAAAAGTGCGAAAATGCCATACAAGTCCCCCATACAAGTCATGTCATGTCATGTCATGTCATGTCATGTCATGTCATGTCATGTCATGTCATTTCATGTCATTTCATTTCGTTTCGTTTCGTTTCGTTTCGATTTCATTTCAATTCAATTCATTTCATTTGATAAATAAATAAGTAATTACTTAAATAATCAATTAAATAAATAATTCAATAAATAATT